CATTGATTCCATAACCACTCTCCATCAAATTCTGTGAAACACCCAAAGGAAACCCAAAATTATCTGGATACAACTGTGCCCATCATATACGCAAACAAGACCAGAATCGAAATGGGTTTTTGATTCAAAACAAGAACTTGATTGATTGTTTTGGTATGTAATTGTTAACATACAGCTTGGTTTTGGTATGTAATTGTTAACATACAGCTTCATCATCTTCATCAAGAACTTGGTATGTAATCAGAGCAGCTTCATCTCTGTTTTGGTTTTTGTGGGCTGATTGGTTGGTTGACCGGCCGGTCAACTGGTAAGGGAAAATGTAATTTTTTTTTTTTTTACCTGTTTGAATCTTTTTTTGATCGGTTTGAACCAACCTATTTGAAAGGAATTCGGTCGACCGGTTGTTCGACCGGGTCCTCCCTCCAACGGTCACAAACAGTGTTTTAGTGAAATCAGTATCCTGTCCTCAATTTGATGAATTGTTTAATGAAATCTCAATCTGATATCGATTTGGTACAATCGTTAGAATAGTAAACAGTAACTTTTTTATCAAAATTTAAATTTGATGTCACCTTTAGTAATAGTTGGAGATGGTCTAAAAAGCAAAGTTTCGTTATCAACCATTCAATGGGTCCTCTCGCCAGGTGTACTGAAATGATTAGCCGTTGTCAACACCAAACGAGGGAACAAGGATTTTGCACCGTCATACCTATATAAAACCTCTGTCTTCTCTCTCTGTTTCTCTTATCTTCATCATCAATCGTTTCCTCGTCATTTTATCTGAGCTCCATCGAAAACCAAACAGCTCTCTTCGTTCTCTTTCTCTCACTATATCTATATATATACATACATATATACATCTATATAGCTTCTCTCTCTCTCTCTTGCTGCTCCTATTGCTAACTACCAACAATCACCAATGGGTTACGAAAACGATCCGTAAGTCTTCTCTCTCTCTCTTAACTTCTCTCTATCTGTAGAAAATTAGGGTTAGGGTTTCGTAAATTTGACCCATTGGTGTTTTTTTTAGGTATGTTGATGAAGATGGAGAGCCATTGATGGACTTCGATGAAGACGTTCAGTCCGATACGGAACCCCAAGGAGACGATCGCAATCTGGTCGATGACGAAGAAGAAGACGATTGGCGTCGGAGAGAGAGGTCTCCGACCCCAATTTACAACGATTCGGATGCGAAGTCGAAGCCTCGGAAGCGACTCATCAAGAAGAGCACGACGGCCGAGGAGAGCACTCCTGATTTTGGAATTGGGGAAGAGGATGATGGGGAAGAATTTGGGGATTTTGTGAGGGGAGAGTCGGACTACGATGATTCCGGGGGTGGGAAGAGGAAGAAGTTTGAGAAAGATGGTAGTGGTGGTAGTAGGAAGAGGGAGAAGAAACTGAAGTCGAAGTCGGAGGGGAGAGATGGGTCGAAATTCAAGTTGAAGCAATCGGGGGATTCGGGAGGGCGGTCGAGGGATCAAAATGGTGAAGAAGAGGTTAAAGAGATGTGGGATACTATTGCAGGAGGTGATTCTGAGGTACTCTACTTTTTATTTCCCTTGAAGTTTTGTTAACAATTGATATTAACTTGTTTGAAAATTCTGTGATTTTGCTTGCTTGGGTTTCTTTTTTAGTACTTAATTTGATATTGTCTTGCTGTGATTCCATTCTGGGTAGTGTAAATTACAAAAATGCAACTCATTTTAATTTTTGATTCTATCACCATTTGATTGTGGTGATTATTTGGACATTGATTATGTGAAATACATGGTTAATGTGCATGAAGTGTTTATAATCAACATAAAGCTGATGCCTTTTTCCCCTGTGGCTTGTATGATTTCATAACTCAGTTTTTTTTTTTTTGTTTTCCTTTGTACCTTTTGATGAATAATTTGCTCACCCAGCGACATTACTTGTAAATGGATTAGGAAGATCAAGATGGTGTTGGAACCCTCGACGATGATAACTTTATAGATGACACTGGTGTTGATCCTGCTGACCGGTATGGAAGTGATAATGAGCCACGGTCTCCTGGTGATGCTCCTCAGGTTAGGTTTTTATCCTTCTTCAGATTTCAATATTATCAAGATAAATCCATTTGTATTTGATTTTTTAACATGACAGCATGTCAAAAGTTTTTGGAAACCTACAATACTTTTTGCAATTTTGCTAGGCAGAAGAGGGTGAAGATGATGACGAGATCAATAACCTCTTCAAGATGGGAAAGAAAAAGAAGAAAAATGAGAAAAGTGCTGCAGAGGTAGCGTTGCTAGTTGAAAATGTTATGGCTGAGCTGGAAGTCGTGGCTGAAGAAGATGCAGAATTGAATAGACAGTCAAAACCTGCTATAAATAAACTCAAAAAGCTACCTCTTCTTACAGAGGTTCTCTCAAAGTAAGATGAGTCTCCCTCATTTGTTTGTCGATGTCTTGTTTATGTATGGTTCTCATATTGTTCCCCATTTCAACTGTTGATCGGTGTAGGAAGCAGCTTCAACAAGAATTCATAGATCATGGAGTATTAACTCTTCTGAAAAATTGGCTCGAACCCCTTCCAGATGGAAGCTTACCAAATATAAATATTCGTGCAGCAGTATTGAGGATCTTAACTGATGTATGAGCACAATGTTACCGCCATTTTCTTCAGTGAGATACAATTGCTTATTGGTTCTGTATGAAAATTATTGAGATTCTGATTTGTTGTGTTCTCTATGCAGTTCCCAATTGATTTAGAGCAGTATGATAGAAGAGAACAACTGAAGAAGAGTGGTCTTGGGAAGGTCAGGGTTCAACTTATGTGGCAATGGTTGCACATGAATTATGTTTGTGGCTTGGCAGTAGAAGGAACAACTGCATACTGATTTTTTGTTCCTTGCAGGTTATTATGTTTTTGTCAAAATCTGATGAGGAGACTACAGCCAACAGAAAACTTGCGAAAGATTTGGTTGATAAATGGGTAATGTAATAATTTTTTTTTTGACTTTTGCCATCTGTGCATGTATCAATCATTGTTCACGGTTCCTCTTTGTACCTTGAAATTTTTTACGGTATTTGATGCCACAGTATATAGTATGCAAGTGGCATATGGTAGATTTCTTGCCTCCTTGAGATCATTGTGTAGATCCATTCACCAATATGTTGAACAAAATTTATCTGCAAAGAAAAAGGAAAGTTGATCAAAATTTATTTTGAAAGGCTGCTTATTAAAAAAAATGTCCTGGAAACCCAAAACCATTCTTGTTTCATTTTATTTTGGTCATGGGGATCTATTTTCAGTGGAATAACTTCAAGTTTTTATTTTTTCTTCCCAACAATTTTTATTCTGTACATGGACCTTTTCTTGAATATAGGCATCTTTTGGAGTTCTTTTTAAGAATTTACCATGATCTATATGTGGAACACTGTTTCTGTTACCTTTCCTCATCATTTAAATTTTGAAAATAAAAATGCAGAGTCGACCAATATTCAATAAGAGCACAAGGTTTGAGGACATGAGAAACTTTGATGATGAGAGGGTTCCCTTTCGGAGGCCATCAGTGAAAAAGTACATATTATCTTTGCTCAATTTCTTTACGTGTATTGTGACATAATCATATTTTTATTTAGTCTTACTTATCTTGGTATGTTTTTTGATAGGCCATCAAATAAATCTTCAGGTATGGAATCTAGAGATGATGATCTGGATTTGGCTGAATTTTCACAGTAAGATGTCATAACCAATTATATATCTGTTGGTTCCTAGTCAGGCAGTCAAGTTTGATTAGTTATTCATGTGCTCTGCACTATGTTTTGGATGTGTTCATTCAAACACTAAATTTATGAGGGAAATGCAGGGAACCAAAGTCTGGCCAGTCATCTTCCAGGACACATGCTTCAAGGCCTGAAGCAATGCCACTGGATTTTTTGGTTCGGCCGCAATCTAAGATTGATCCAGATGAAATCAGGGCCCGTGCTAAGCACATTGTGCAAGATCAGCGCCGTTTAAAGGTTGGTTTCCCACTTAAATCGAAGTTGAAATGGATAACTATGCATGGTTGCTAAACCTGTAAGTTCATTTGGAGTTGATACGGCTATCGGTTAAACTTGATCTTCTACTAATTCATGACAGCTCTCATGCTTTTTCAATATTGTTCATTAATGGAATACTTGGCGAAAAGTTCAATTTGTTTTGCTTGTACATCAGCAAAAATAAATAATTATATTCTGACCTACTTTTAGATAAGTTCCTTAGAAGGTCCATGCTGGTTTGCTTTCCTTGAGTTGTCATACATTCTGTGGCTTTGTGCACATGTCTGTATTTTGGAAATGTGTTCTTGGCTTCTTTTTTAGCCTACTTCCAAGCTCTTGCATCCTCATTCTCTGTTTATTGGCAGATGCAAAAGAAGTTGCAACAGCTGAAAGCACCAAAGAAGAAGCAGCTTCAAGCTACAAAACTTAGTGTGGAGGGTCGCGGTATGGTCAAATACTTATAGTTGTCTCACTCGTTGAGTTCCTAAGCAAGAAGAGTGCATTGCATGTGCTTAATAATTGATTTGAGCGGCTGTTGAGTTGGGCTGGAAAAGGCGAGAGGGTATCATTTTGAGCAATTTTTGTTTGGCTACATCAATTGCCTTGTCAAAGAGGTCACTCTCTTCTCTTTTGGGTCTGCAGCTTTGTGCAATGAATGGGCTGTGCAATATATACTCCTTATGGCAGCAGTTCTGCAGAAGCTGATTCCTTGATTGTTGGTTATTTCATTCATGGTTTTTAAGATTTTCATTGGGATGTAATCTTAACACACGTTAAAGTAGTCTGTCACGACCCATTTTCTTTTCTCATCAATAATACCATAATTTGGTAAGAATTGAGCTTAAATTTATCCATAATATATGGGACAAAAAGTTCTTAATTCTATTGAATATGGCATGTTCACTGATTCATAGGCCTTTGCAAAAATAGTGAAGAAAACTGTTTAAGTTGTCAGCTAAAGTATGGTTGTATTACTAGTTATTACATTGAATCGCTAACTATTGCTGTAATTTCTGTGGCAGTTTTGATTTATTTACTCTAGTGAATCAGATAGGCCTTTTATATCTGGCCCTTTTTAATTATGATTTTTCTGATGCATTAATATAGTGTTTGATTCATTGGAAGTACAATGAAATAGAATGGTCCTTTCTTTAACTTCTTTATGGAGCGAGTGATGATTTTATTTATAATTAGTTTTTTAAGTGAATTTTGTTTGGAATAATTTTTTAAATGAATTAAATGTGAGAATAGACATTGGTATAAATGTTCCCTCATGTCACCTGATTTTGCAGTAAACGTCACTTGAGAATTTGTTAGTAAAAATTATGCTGGAGTTGGATTGATAGTAAGACAATTGTGGTTTTGATTCGAATGCCTCAAAAGAATGAGGACTTTTTTTGATCAATGGTAAAAAAGTAAACAAGAAGAAAGAACATACTTTTTATATCAACTGATGGTAGCAAAATAGTTTTGAATAAACCGAAGTAATTTCAAATTGAAATTACTGAAGTTCACCCAATTACAAAATATAAATTATAGTGGAAGAACTACTCCTAAGTTACAATTTGAATAACTCATAAGTCTAAGAACTAAGTTGTTATGTTGTTGATGTCCCCTCTCTCTGTAAACTTCTGGCTTTTATACTTCTTTGACATGCCCCCATGATCTCTTCAATCTACAACTGCTGCCATGTAACTGCTGTAACTGCTTCCTGACTTCTAGGTTATCAAACATTTAACAATTCTTCATGTTTCCTGTCCAACTAATTGTGTTCCATACTGCCACATGCTCCTCATCATTTTGAACACTAAATCGACAGAGAAAACCTTTCCTTCATAAACCAATTTTCCTACAAACTGGCCCACTAAGCCAACAATTGGCTATAACTTGTAAGTGCTCTACAACTGCCTCCATGATTTCATACAAATCAGTCCACTAAGCTAACAATTATTTAATAATTGTTCTATGACTACTTTTGACAATTCATGCACTTAAACAATTCTTTCTTACCTTGTGTCTCTTTGATCAAATGAAAGACTTTTCCTTTTGATTTTATTTCTCTGTGTCATCATTCAATTGATCCACTTGTCGATAGGAAATTTACGAAAATGGGTGCAAACAATGCTCCCCAACTCTTTAAGAATGAGAAGTCTTAAATCCTTGAAAAGTTGTATATAAAATTAAATTGGCAGCAACCTTTTCAACAAACAACCATCTATAAAATATATGCTTAGGGCCAAGAAATCTGGTGATCAAACACCCCATATATGTCAAAATAGAATTACTGATAATTTGATGTTGATGTTATTAATAATCATATGCTACATAATTGGCAAAATCACAACTCAATCCAAGTTAACTACATTATTCGATGGAGCATATTAGAAAATTTTCAAGTATATGATGTGCAAATAGCTAATTAGATCCACCTTCCACAAACATAGTGTATTTGTGCAAATACAACTACTGCAATTTCCTTTGGTGTTGTGTTCATATTTCATTAACACAATTTAGACCAAAAATGTTTCTTCATGCACTTGAGAATTTGATCACATGCTTTCAATTGTTAGTGTTCAACAGTGAAAACACACTTTTGCTTAATTAGTCATAACTTCAAAGATTCAAAGTCAGAATAGAGGCTAGACTTGAATGGCCATTATCTAGCTTGCTTTATATAAATTTTCTGAATGTATATTTTTCAAACAATGTTGGTGCATTAACCACTTTACTAAAATTGAATTTTGGTGGGATCCATGAATCCAAAAAAGATTTCGAATAACAAAAACCTATATGGCCTTAAAAACTTGTACATGTTGACATCTTGAATAATGTCAAAAATTTTAAATTCATGAACATATGGTTGTTCATCATTTTCAGCCATATTTGGCTTAAGATCACACTTATCTCCTTTACACATTAATGTGTTAGAAATATGTTTTGAACACCTAGAAAATATTTCTTTGTGAAATTGCCCCTCGCCATGGAGTTTTGATTCTCATGGCCTTCTGATTTTGCAACCATGACAATCGATGGAGTAACAACACCAACATTTGAAGGTGTCTTGTGGACTTCCACCATTGTCTGACACCGCCCTTTAGAAAAATCATCAATAACACTTCTTAGCTCAACTAGCACCTATTTTTCTTCAACTGAAAGAGATGCAAGAGCCTTCTTTAATTGTGAAATCAAACTGCTACTAGGGAGTACAGAAGGGCCACTCATTTGGCTTTGATGCCTCGTCTTTTCCATTGTTCCAAGTTACGATGTTGTCCCACTAGGCGTGCCAAAAATTGTTAGTAAAAATTATACTGGGGTTGGATCGACAACAACTAAGTAATAATGCAAACTGAACAATTTAAACAGGAACAATTAGGCAATTGCAGTTTTGGTTCAAATGCCTCAAAAGAATGAAGACTTCTTTGGATCAATGGTAACAAAGTAAATAAGAAGAAAGAATACACTTTCTATATCAACTGATGGTAGCAAAGTAGATTTGAATAAACAGAAATAATTTCAGACTGAAATTACCAAAGTTCACCCAATTACAAAGTGTAGATTATAGTGGAAGAACTACTCCTAAGCTATAATCTGAACTACTCTTAAGTCTAAGAACTAAGTTGTTATGTTGTTCTTGAGGGCCCCTCTCTTTGCAAACTTCTTGCCTTTATACTTCTCAATCTGCAACTGCTTCCATGTAACTGTTGCAATTGCTTCCTGACTTCTAGGCTATCAAACCTTTAACAATTCTTCATATTTCCTGTCGAACTAACTGTGCTCCATACTGCCACATGCTCCTCATCATTTTGAATACTAAATTGACAAAGAAAACCTTTCCTTCATAAACCATTTTCCCAACAAACTGGCCCACTAAGCCAACAATTGGCTGTAACTTGCAAGTGCTCCACAACTGCCTCCATGATTTCACACAAATCAGTCCACTAAGCCAACAATTATTTAATAATTGCTCCATGACTACTTTTAACAATTCATGCACTTAAATAATTCTTTTTTGTCTCGTGTCTCTTTGATAAAATGAAAGACTATTACTTTTGACTTTATTGTCATGTGTCATCATTTAATTGATCCACTCGTCAATAGAAAATTTACGAAGATAGGTGCAAACAGAATTCTATGAAATTTCAAAGTTGGCTCAGATCCAGGACTTTTCATTCATTGTATTAAATTCAACATATCAAAAAGCTCTCACAGGAGCTTAGTGATTTATATGAAAGAAGTTGTTTAGCGGTCTTGGAATATTACTAATTGTCTTTTAAAAAGACACATAAAAGTGGTGGGTGCTACTGTTTTTGTCAATAAAATTTTAGTCGGTAGTAGCTGTGTTTGCCGCTGGAGCAAAAATATAATTTTCCTCTAAAATATAATTTTCCTTTACATGACGCGTAATTAGTTTCATAGGGTTTGGCTGCTCTAAGGTAAGATTTGTGAAATCTTGTGGAAAATGAATGAAAAGTCTATAGACTTCCAATCTGAAATCTTGAGAATAGACAGTCCAACGCGCTCTCTCTCTCTCTCTGTATATATCTATACATGAGAGGGGGGCTTTTCCCAAACTAAGCCTCTTTTGCATCCTATTTTCCAAACTAGGCCTAGTTTGGACGGAATTCCCAAACTAAGCTAAAGCGTTATTACAAATCGCGCTTTCACTGTTTGGAGCTCAAAATTTGATGAATAGTGAAAGCGCTATTGTAAAACGCGCTTTTAATTAATAAATTGCTGTTTTAAATCGCGCTTTTAACATAAAAATTTTTTTTCTAAAGAAAACGCTATTTGAAATAGCGCTTTCACTGTACATATAATTTTTTTTTTTTTTTAGAAAACGTTATTTCAAATAACGTTTCTACTGTTGAAACATTCACCAAAACCAACCCACCCTCTGAAACACGCACACACCCACACACACCCAACCGACACTCTGAAGCATTGCTTTTAATACAATTTATCGACAACAACTAAGCAATAATGCAAACTAAACAATTTAAACATGAACAATCAGGCAATTGTGGTTTTGGTTCAAATGCCTCAAAAGAATGAAGACTTCTTTGGATCAATGGTAACAAAGTAAATAAGAAGAAAGAATACACTTTCTATATCAACTGATGGTAGCAAAGTAGATTTGAATAAACAGAAATAATTTCAGACTGAAATTACCAAAGTTCACCCAATTACAAAGTACAGATTATAGTGGAAGAACTACTCCTAAGTTATAATCTGAACTACTCTTAAGTCTAAGAACTAAGTTGTTATGTTGTTCTTGAGGGCCCCTCTCTTTGCAAACTTCTTGCCTTTATACTTCTTTGCCACGCTTCCATGATCTCCTCAATCTGCAACTGCTGCCATGTAACTGTTGCAACTGCTTCCTGACTTCTAGGCTATCAAACCTTTAACAATTCTTCATATTTCCTGTCGAACTAACTGTGCTCCATACTGCCACATGCTCCTCATCATTTTGAACACTAAATTGACAGAGAAAACCTTTCCTTCATAAACCATTTTCCCAACAAACTGGCCCACTAAGCCAACAATTGGCTGTATCTTGTGGAAAATGAATGAAAAGTCTATAGACTTCCAATCTGAAATCTTGAGAATAGACAGTCCAACGCGCTATTTCTCTCTCTCTCTCTCTCTCTCTCTCTTTCTCTCTCTGTATATATCTATACATGAGAGGCGGTTTGCTGCTTGTGGCTTGACATTTTTTTTTCTTATTTTGCTCTTAGTTTATTTTGAAATTGTTATTTTGTCCTTTAGTTTGGTTGGTGAAATAATTTGGGTATAATCACGTAAATATTTCTGGTTAATTATGAAACATAAATATTTTATTTTTTAACAAATTACAAATACACTCATAAACTTTGTTTAACATATGAATCAGTCATATAATACAAGAAATTACAATTATCGTTTGTCATAAATTTTAATTTAACACAATACTCAGGAAAAAAAACTATTATCCAATGCAATAATAAATTATCAAAATTGTTTATTGAAAAAT